TGAAGCCTTTAGTTTTAACTCTGACTTTGTTTACATTTCCTTAGTAACCCACCATTGAGTAGAGAAATGCTGCCCCCTGGCGACTGGATGTGTCATCGCTGCACCGTTAGCAAGAAGGTTGGTGTCCTGTCTGTTATGCAGTTTTAAATTTGGCCCTAATTTTTTTTTTTTTTTAATCTTCCCAAATGTTAAAAGAGAATAGTTTATTAATTTTTGTCAACAAAAGTGAAGCCATGAGATCTCTTAATTTTTTAATAAAAATGGTTAATCTTTAAAAGCAAAGAAATTGAAACCAACACAAATATTAGTATTGTACTTTTGTTCTGTGAAATTATTAGACATCTTTTATTTTACATTAAAATCATTGGAATAATAATATATGTTTAATGTTTATAATATAATAAAATATTAATTGTTATATTGTTGTTATTGTATAGTCCTATTGAATTGGGGGGGGGGGAAGGTTTCCTGATAATTATATATTTACTGTGTTTGAAAATCCCTTATACTTATTCTGCAACATTTTTGTAGATTGTTAGTGGTTTGCATAAAAAAAGTTTCAAATATTGGTTTGTGATCCCCCTCCCCCCCTTCAACAGAAAAGGGAACAGAAGAAGGAGCAAATTAACGGTCTGTTGGAGCAGCAGCTGGGGAAGCAAATGCCTTCTCCAGCTCCTGAGCAGGAATGTGGGACATTACATCTGGATCCTTCCATGGAGTTGGGCAGCACAGGGATTCAGGCCGCCGTCGCTCAGGTACGGCTCCTGGAGAGACGACCCAGCAGCCGACCTGCAACCCCCAACTCCAACACTTCTTCCACAGACACGCCCACACCATCTGAGCAGAATGACATGGAGGAAGACCTAGACGCGGAGGAGGAGGCCCAGGGTTCTGAGCCTGAAATCTCAAATATCACAACCACCCTCAAAAGACCATTTGACCTCCTAATCGCCGCTGCCATGCAAAGGAACCCTACGCAGTTCCAGCTTCCAATTGACCTCACTTGCACAACCACACTTCCAGGTACAGGACATTATGATCTCACTGTAAAATTGTGTGAACAGATCATATGTGATTCTAAGATATGAAACATCTTTTTTCTTCCTCTCAGGCACCAGCAAAAGGAGACGAAAAGACGAGTTATCAGGCAAGAACGTTAAACGCCCACAACATGAACTGGACCATTGTGGACTGGTGCCACTGCCGGTGAAAGTGTGCTACACATGCAGCAGGTACATGCTTTTATATACACATTATTTGTTATTTTACTGTTACTTTTTAATAAGCCCCCTTTTTAAGATATTATACATTAATAGTTGTCTTTTTCTCTCAGGAGTTGCCGATTGGCTCCACTGATCCAGTGCGACTATTGCCCTCTCTCGTTTCACATGGACTGTTTGGACCCGCCTCTCACTGCCTTCCCTACAGGCAGGTGGATGTGTCCCAACCACATCCAGAACCTGGTAGTAAGGAAGCTTTTGTAAAACAAAAATCAAAACTTGTATTTCTTTTTAATTGTGACATTTTCATATGCAAAGTTGAAAAACACCCCGAAAACACCCTTACAAACATGCCATTCATTCATTCTCATTTCCTCTCAGCTGAACCAGAGAACCTTGACCCTCAGCAACCGTTGCCAGTTATTTGACCAGTTTCAGGACCGCATTTCCCAGCATGCTGTCAAACTTGACTTCTTGCAGCGGATACATCGGCAACACCCCCCTACATGGTGGTCGGCTCATGCCAACAGAAGAAAGACTCTGAAGGTTATCCGTCTTCTTTTAAACTCACTGTATGACACGAGTGATAGACACTTAGATGTTGTAGATGTTGTTGAAACTTATTTGAGATATCGCTTTGTTAATCGCAGGTTCCAGATGCCATAAAGTCACAGTACCAGAACCCAACTACTCTGATGGCCACGGCAGGAATCCGTGAAGGGGAGCTGATCTGCTCTGGCCTTTCAGAATCTTTTGCCCCACAGCACTTAGCCAGTGAAGATGAACAGTGTCAGGTGTGTATAAGCAGCCTGCAGTTTGCTTCTGCTTTTGGATTCAGTATTGTTTCTGAACCAGTGTTTTTATTCTGTTTATGCTTTGGTGTAGTGGCTCAAAGACGTCATCTCGCTGCAGTGCAGCATTATGAGGCACTTATGGAACAGACAAACATCTCCTTGGGATTCAGAGCACACAGAAAAGACTGATCTAAAACTCAGAGACTCTTGCCAGAGTGCCGCCTCAATGGGCAGCCAGAACATTGCTCCAAAAGTTTCCTGTAGCTCCTGTACTGATGGTCTGTGTCAGAACTGTAAGACCACAAATGGCCTTGTAGACCGATTGGTTCAGTCCAATGGAATGCAGGGTCCTGATAGAACCCAAGAAAACACCACTGGCCATGAAATGTCCCGTTTACACATGCCCACTCCACCCAACCATGCCAACACTGAAACAGTAATCAAGACCGAGAATGCCATCTTAAAGTCCTGTAGTGGAACCGAGGTCCCTCCTCCTGCTTGTGTCAAATCTGAGCCCAGCACTCCATCATGTGACCATGGGAAAACTGCAGCAGCAGCAAAACTCTTGGGCTCTACTGCGTGTTCAGGAGCACATGCTGTTAAACCACAGAAAATCATCTCAGATAACGAGTCAAAAGATCAGAGATCTCCATCCCATTCCAGTGGTAAATGCCTACTTCTGTAGTTTGATTATTACCTAGCAACACTTAAAAAATATTGATTGGCTGCTTTCTCTTTCAGATGGGAATGCTGCTTCGAATTCTGTGATGGCAGGCAGTAGTGACGTCTTTTCTTGCACAGAACCTAACATGCTGGAGCTGTCCGGACGAATAAAAGACATCATGCAGGGCAGCGGAGGTGGGTTTGAGTGTGTTTCAGAGAGGAATCTTGTAATCTTTCTGTTTTGCTTTCCAAGTTAGGTTGAAAACATATTGTAACTTTAAGAATTCAAAATCTTTCCCAGTTCTAAATTGTGCATTAAAACAACTCTATGTAGGTTTGTGTATTTTTGCAACTTTGGCTCTCCCTACAGTTAAGTGAGTGAAATTCACTGTCATAATTACAGTTGATAGCTATACATAAAGCTGCCATAAAGCAGTCTGCTCTTTTCACAGAATTTCATACCAAACTTACATGCTTGAATTTAACTTCTGATAGAATACATCTGCATTATTTGGGGGGAGAAATGTAATTGCAGTGTTTATTTTTAATCACCAGTGCTTGTTTGTAAACCAGAGTTATGTATCAATTTGTCTACAAAATAATAATTACTACTTAATTAGGATTATTATTACTATTACTTACACTATATTAAACAAAAGACGGCAGCATTTTGTAATCATTTTTAAACCCGGTTTGTATTGCAGAAGTTGAGCTTGGCTCATTGGATGAGAAATTTATCAAGCTCTTAGCCTGGCAGCAGATTCAGCAGCTCTTTGAGTTGAAAAACTCTCCAGTTCAGACCAGTTCTCCTTTTTCAATGTCACCCATTCACAGGAAACACAATGAAGGTATGAGATTCATTGTTCATTATGCTCTTTTTTGAAGTTTGTGTACCCATCAGCGAATTAACTCTTGATGTTTGCGTTTCAGCCCAAAACAAGGAAGTGCAGGCAAGAGCTTCATTCTGTTCGGCCTCAGGAAAGGGAACGGCTGTAAACATGTGCTACAGGAGTCTGTACATCGGGACAGGTGATTATTATCCTGTGGCTGCAGGAAATGCGTCATCCTACAGTGTTCAGTACAACTATGTGTTCTCATCGCAGGTGCTGATATGGATGTGTGCCTTACAAACTATGGGCATTGTAACTACGTTTCAGGGAAACATGCCTGTATATTTTATGATGAGGTAGGCAATTTTAAACATCTAACATGCTTTACACACAAAGGTGGTGTCATCTCGTTTGAGTGATTTACATTTAGATGCATTTGTTCTCTCCTCCTCCAGAATACAAAGCAGTATGAACTGCTGAACTACAGCGAACACGGGACGACTGTTGACAACGTATTATATTCCTGTGACTTCTCTGAGAAGATGAGCCAGAGTCCATCCAACAACCTGCTCGCCAAAGTGCAAAACATCATCCGTGAGTTATTCCTCTTCCAGTTCCAGTGATTTAAAAATTGTGGTCAGAAAAAAAGAAAGAAAAATGCACAAATGTATCATTTACAATAAATTCAATAACATGTATTTAGAAAATGGATAGGGTGATTTCTATTTCATGACAACTTTAAAAACATCGCACAGTAAGCATCAGTATTAACTCAAGTGCGTTTGTAGGACGCTGCAGGAAAAAAGAGCAGGAGGAGTCTGCAATGGGCATGGCTGCAACAACAGAGGGTGGAGTTATGAGCTGCGAGTCCCAAGATGCTCCCATCACTCCCTGTAACTGTAAAAACAGCGGCTCCAGTTTGATTGGAGGCAGTGGTGCGGGATGGGAAGGCACTGCGCTCCTCCATCACGGAAGCCACATCAAACTGGGCTGCTTGCAGTTTATATTCAGTATCACAGAGTTTGCCAACAAGTCACTTAAAGAGGAGCTCACCACCTGCACCCTCACTCCCACACCTGGCCAACAGGGGGAGCAACTGAGCAAGGCCATGCCTCCTCCACTTCAACACAACCTTGTAACTTAACCCCTAAAGCATCAACTTGTACAGTTTAAACGGTTTCCTAATTGTTTATACACTTGCATGAGGTGACCTTTTTTCTAGTTATTTCAGACTCTTTTGACAGGTTGCACATTTTCTTGTCTCAATGCAAGACTTGTATTTTTAAAGGGAAACTTTGATCATCCTGTGTGCTCCGAACCAATGAGCAGTTTTCACATGTAAAAAAACTAAAATCAAAACATGTTCTATTTTGTGCCAGTAACAATAGTTTTTATATAAACATGCATTTTCTTTTTTTCCAAAACAAAATGGATGCTTTTATTTATGTATGTCCTCTGGAGTGCAGTCAGACCTGGTGGTTCTTTAGCACGACATGTGCAAAGAGACTCATGTACATATATGTATGTATCCATGTGAAGAGCCAGAAAGCCACACGATTCATTGCGCAAAAGTGCTCCAGTTTGTATTATTTCTGTCATGCACTATTTTGTTGCTGTTCAGTCCTTTTATGTGCCTGTTTCATGTGGTTCTGTAATTAGTTTTCACCAGGTTCTTGTCTCAAACTATGTAAATACAAACCAGATTTTAAATAACATGCTTTAGAAATCCACCAGCCTGTGTTCATGTGTCATGCTTACTGGTTCACTCACTGGTCTTCTATAAGATTAGTCGAGTTTTCTAAAGTTAGCATTGCTATTGCTTATTTTTAGACTATGGCGCTTTGAAAAATCTCCATTGAGAATATTCAGGTGCTTAAAGTAGGATGGGCGATTTTGGAGAGGCAAGCTAGCTTTGAAAGTATAAGATCCCACCCTACCTGTAAATCACTCTCCAAAGCCACGCCTCCTCCAAAACACATGAAAGCACACATTCATGCTGACTTTCATGAATACATTCATGAAGACTGTTAATGACAATAAAATTCTTTAAATCAGTAGTTTTGTAATTATATGTCATTTTCAGTTTGATTGTGTATATAGAAACATCATATTTTAGATTCACTGCAAAATATGCTTCAACAAACACATATACCATCAATTAACAACCTCATAGTTCATATGTAGGTCTGTCTTTATAAGTTTTCGTAAAGTTTTTGTAGAAAACGAATGGAATTTTTACCTTAATATTTCCTCATTAAAAACCTTTGCCCCTAAAAAAATTATATAAATAGTAGGCTACTTTTATAAATAATAATTTTAAAAAATCCAATCATATCAGTAGCATGCTGTTTTATTAAACAAATCTGTGATTCTGCTATATAAATTTGCAGAATTAATGTAGGGATGTTGTGAAATCAATGAACTGATGTGACTGCCACACAGGAATCAGGAAACAAAGAGGTGTTGTATATGCACTTGGATCTGGCCAGTCTGAAATCTGTGAGGTCTGTCGCTGAAAACTTTCTCGAGAAAGAATCCAGGTTGGAAATTCTTAAGCAGGTAGCTATCAAATATATGCAATTTTATGTTATGCATTGATACAGCTAGTAACTTTTTAAGATAACTAACTGAAAATCTGCCTTAGGTTTAAAAACTTTATATTGACTTTAAACTTCTGTGTTTGTAGGACTTGTTATTGGGGCAAGACTGAGGATGACTTTGGAAGGATCTTTGGCGTCAATCACCTCGGTCACTTTCTGTTAACCATCCTGCTGCTGGAAAGGTTAAAAGAGTGCGGCCCCAGCAGAGTTGTGACAGTCTCTTCAATGGCCCATTGCAGGGGGAAAATTGATTTCTACTGCATCAGCACTCATAATGATTTGGGTTTAGGAAATTCTGCATTGGCCTTATTAATGTTGTACAGTCACAGCAAACTCTGCAATGTCCTCTTTACGCATGAACTGGCCAAGAGACTCAAAGGCACAAATGTCACCTGCTACAGTCTTCATCCAGGTCAGTTTGTGTAAGCTGGTAGAAGCAGTACTTGATAAAATCTCATAGGTCATAAGTGATCTGATTTATTTTGTAGGGGCCATTAAAACGGACATTGGTCGCCACAGCTATCTATGGTGGCGGCTGTTCATGGCACCGATTTTGCTGCTTTTCTTTTCGGACGTGGAATCTGGAGCTCAGACATCTCTTTACTGTGCACTTCAAGAGGGTATTGAACCCCTGACTGGACGCTACTTCTCTAGCTGTGCAGTGCAGAATGTCTCTGCTAAAGCCAGAGATGATGCAGTAGCCAAAAAGCTTTGGGAAGTCAGCGAGAGGCTGGTTGGTTTAGCGTGAGATTATCAGTTTCATTATGGATTTGCACTTGCACAGTTTATTTAGTTTAACTGTGTTGGATAAATCTGTTTCTGCATGTTATAAAAAGCCTGTGTCAAATATGCTCTGACCACAACAAACAAGCCATTTAATTCTTATAATAAAAATGTTCTTTGATTGTTTTACAGATTGTGTTTGTGCAAATATCACTAATTAGCAAACATATTTTGAATGTAACTTGCAGAAATCACTGTGTATATGTTTTCCCTTCCTGAAGTTTATGGGACCAGGTTTCCACTGCGCAAATCATGTTTCTTTATCATAACAGAGTAAAGACATAATTCACTAGGTGTGTCTGGGGATACCGAGGCCTTTACTGTGCTGAATGTGTCACCTCTCCCAGTTAAGAGTATGTCACTGATTTAGTAAAGGAACAACATGCACTCTCACCTATGGATTTCATGTGTCAAAAAAACGTCAAGGAGTGCCAAAACTTTGGGCCCAGTTACTCAATATCTCCATGATAATGTGACTCAAAATAGTTTGGCGCTGAGTTCTTTGATGATTTCATATACTAGGTAATTCAAACAACATTCAATCACTTCAGTTTTTCCAATAACTACTACAAACTTGATATATATTTTATTATTTTTGAAAGATCATGTGACACTGAAGACTAGAGTAATGGTTGCTGAAATTCAGCTTTGCAATGATCAGAATAAATCACATTTTAAAATATATTAAAATAAGAGCACGGTAGGGAGACGCAAATGATTTAAATTTCTCAATTTTTACAAACTGTGGTGTTTACTGTATTTGTTGGTCTCAACATGTTACCAAATATAGCCTAGTTGTAAGAAAAAATATGTATAAATTAAAATTGTATTTAATTTACAACCTTGTTGCTTCTGGCCAGTGTGTGTGCTGAGTTCTATAAATTATGTTTACTTAACTATGATGATTATTTAATATTTATTGGTAAAAACGCAATACACTCATGGATCAAAACTGTATTTATACGCTTTTTTTGTAAAATAAAATACAAGGAATATAAAACAGCTCATATATAAGTTATAAGAATTAGTTTGACCCCCTGAACGATCAACATTTTATGAATGTGAAAGCACTTTTAACTGATTTGTTGTGTAAAAAGCTCTATTTAGTACCCCAAAACATGACAAGATATTAAGATAAATAAGCAGTCCTTGGCCTTGAACGTTCTATTGTTCGCTTGAGCACGAGCAAACCGGTTTCGTTGTGAGCTCATGGGGTGATGGAGAAAACCCTTGAACCGGTTTATCAGGCTCTGGCCCGGGTGGAGAACATAAGAACCGCAGACTCTTGCAGTAGGTCACAATCATGATCCATCTCATCATCGCCGGTGCGCTTGTCGCAGCTCTTTATGTTGTCTTGGTGGAGACGTTGTTTAAGAAGTCGAAATGTAAAGGAACCGCTGATATGACCGGGAAAACTGCAATTATTACAGGTGAGGTTTTGATAAACATTCAAGTCAATGAAAAATGATGCCTCTTCATGTTGGCATTCTCTTCAATATAGTTGTGTTTTAGTTGTGGTCATGAGAGATGTTTGGTTTGATGTTTCAGGTGGGAATACTGGTATCGGTAAGGCTACAGCTCTAGATCTGGCAGGTCGTGGAGTAAGAGTCATTCTGGCCTGCAGAAACCAGAAGAAAGCCGAGGCAGCTATAAATGACATCAAGAAGGTGAGGACCATCTCTTCTGAACACTGATTCAAGAGTTTTGAGTGTTTATTGAAGCCATATTTGTTGTTCAGTCCACAGGAAGCGATGATATCCTGTTCATGGAGCTTGATCTTGGAAGCCTCAAATCTGTGCGAGCTTTTGCTGAGAACTTCCTCAAATCTGAGTCAAGACTGGATCTGCTCATCAACAATGCAGGTAAGCCAAATCCTCAAAACGGTTTCAAATCAGAATGTAAACAAACGTGGGAACCAAAGGTAAAAGTTTCGCCATCTTCGATCTGAATACTACAGGGAACATGTGGCACTGTATTCAAATGTTTTTTTTATGTTTAGGTCTTGTGGCAGATGGTAGAACTGAGGATGGGTTTGGCGTAGAGTTTGGTGTCAATCATCTTGGTCATTTCCTTCTCACGTGTCTTCTCCTGGACCGTCTGAAGGAGAGTCCTGCTGCTCGCGTCATCACCCTTTCCTCCATGGCCTATCGCTGGGGCAAGATTGATTTCGATTCTCTTGTCGCTACCAAAGACCTGGGGTCAGGGAGATACAGCTGGCAGTTCTTCCAAGCCTACTGCAACAGCAAACTCTGTAACGTCCTGTTCACTCACGAACTGGCCAAGAGACTGAAGGGCACGAACGTCACCTGCTACAGTGTTCATCCAGGTAAATCATACTTTAAGGAATAATAAGTTGAAGTTCTGTCATTATTTACCTACCCTCATGTTATTCAAAACCTGTATGAACTTTTTTTCCCCATTCGTTTGTACATCATTCAGATTCCTCTTTTTGCATTCCACAAATGAAGAGTCATACAGGTTTGGAATGTCACAGGGTTGAGTAAATTATGGCAGATTTTATTTTGGGGGAACAGTTCATAATCATTTTTAGGAAGTTCATATAAATTTTTGAATGTTCACATTCACTAAAAAAATATTTTTTGAACTTTTAGATTATTGGGGTACCTTTTACAAGAAAATACAATGTTTATTTCATGTAATTCAGTGTGTTACTTTCCATTTCTTTGTCATTATTTATGAAATTGACTAGCAATTTCTAAGACAAAATAGTTTCAATACCACTTTTTTTGCGATCTTAAGGTGAGGTCACAATGAAATGTTGGCAAAATGTAGCTGTCAAACGAAGGTATATTATCAAGTCACACACAAGTCACTTTCAAACCATGCAGCTTTCTGTTGGCCAATGTGGCAAATCTGCAAAAAACTTGAACTCTTTGGGAAATCTGTGTGGGGACATCTTTCGCCCTCACACAAAGTTCCGATCTCCTTTGAAATAACTGGATTTCATTCTCAAAAATTGGCAAACAGTGGCAAATATGACCGTACTTATTGACCGTACATTAACAGAAGCTCCATCCGAAAGCTCACACTGTCTAGTAGGTACTACGTTTGGTTTGAAACTTAGTAGTATAAATGAAATTCTGATGTACTACATCTGCCATGTTGTCACCATCACGTGACCTTCCAGCATCAGTTGTCGCTTGAGTGCCATTCACAACTTTGTTTACTAATCATGAATATGTAGTTATTTGTGCATAAGATCAGAATGTTTACAACCAACTGGAGGCGCTGGAATGCAAAATCACATTCCCGGCGGGAATGAAACAATTCATTTAAAATGATGAATAATGAGATGATCAATAATGACATGATGAATAAATAATAAGAGTGAATGAGACCCGTAGTTTTTGTGTATAGTTTTGCGTGTGAATTCCAGATCATTGATACAAATCTAGCCAATCATCTGGAATGTTCAGAGCCATTTCCTGTTTTTTGATAAACCTTCGTCTTAAATATTCTCTGCTAAATCACCAATCAGTTGTTCAGTTGGGTTAAACAAATGCATAATATTGTATGATCCCTTTTACAGGTGTTGTAAAGACTGAGCTCTCCCGCCATGTGAGTCTCTGGCAGAAAGTGTTCATCGAGCCACTGGCTAGATTGCTGTTCCTGGACCCAAAAACTGGAGCCCAAACGACTCTGCATTGTGCAGTTCAGGAAGGAATCGAGCATTTCAGTGGACGTTATTTCTCATGCTGCGCTGTGGAGAAAGTTAGTGCCAAAGCTAATAATGACGTGGTGGCCAAAAATCTTTGGGAAGTCAGTGAACGACTGAGCGGCCTTTCATAAAACCAGAGGAACTGTTTTATTTCTGGTGGCTGGAGACTATCTGTGAACTTTATTTATCCCTAAGGGGGGGGGGGGGGGCGTATGAAGAGTTTAAAATTATTATAACA